GCCAGGGCTGGACTGGGACCAAAAATCGGCCCGGGCATTTTGGCCCAGACTGGCCCACTATATAACACAACCAAACTTTGCACGCCCTTGAATATGTATACCAACTCCTATTAAAACCACTAATGCCATAAGTGAATAGGAGTGAGTTAGAGTTAACCGATGAAATAACTACTAAGTTGAACTATACTCCACAGTGATGAATCCTAAAGAAAGCTATAAGTTGGGATATCAATACCGGTTTTTCCCACAGGATTTTGGGAAATCTGTGGTGAGTGGACCTCTGTCCCTAGGGGGGTTCGGGGGCATGCCTCCCCGTAAGAAAATGATGTGCTTTTTAATGTTAAATTCATCAATCTGGTGCACTTTGAGAGTTAAAAATAAAGAGCTCCAACCCATATTCAGTGTGCAAATTGAACAAAGAAAAACTCAAAACTCTTTTAGTTGTGATATAGTGTCTGTCTACATTACACTACTACATAATAATAGTTATAATATTAATGGCAGTAATAGCCATATGTTGTAAAACAAATGCACTGAAAAATAAAAGCAACTTTCATAATTAGTTTCGTACTAATTTCTATACAGAGATAAGCACATGATCTTTTATTTTGACGGAAACAATATCGAGCTTTTATTTTGAAGAAAAACATGGCAGGGTTCCTGCACACTTTTGAAAGTCAAATTTAAGGCTTTTTAAGACCTTTTTAAGACCTTAAGAAATCAAAATTAATACCGTACATTAGGGCTGTGCAGTATTGACAAATATATCTTGATATTTTCAACGTTTTGTTGATAATAATTAGATGATATTTTACTGATTGTGTTTTTGTGCTGGTGCCTTGCTGACTCACGAAGATATTCATATTTTTCATATTCTATGCAGTGGTCGATTCACAGCAGTGACAGAAATTAATATTTTGATTAAGGGGCAATAATTGCCACCTTAAATTGATTTTTTCAGGGGCATTTTCACCTATATATGGACATTTTTTCTAAACTTATTTAGAGTTATGCATCACCTTTAATGTCAAATACTATCATTCAAATTAAATTATACAGTAATTATACAATAATACTTAATTATATAATAATCATGCAGTACCACTGTTACCAGTCAAATTAAATCAAAATCCATCTTTGCAGTGCAGAGGTGACAGAAGCGGCATCAGAAGTGGCATTAATATATTTACACTCCATTTACAACTGCATAAATAAAGCTATGAGATATATATATTTAAATCAATATTCAATATTTAAATATGAAATGATTTCTAATTTTAACATTTTATTTAAAGGGTACTTTAAATATGAAACCGCAGCGGCAAATCACTGTCTTAATAAGTGAGTTGAGGGAGTCATTCATTCAACCGATTCGTTCAAACGGCTGATTCATTCGGGAAAGAAGCAAGTGATTCGTTCAAAACGCGGATTTCAGTCAAGAAATCATCGCTGTCGGTTGCATTGAGACTCTGCTACGGTTTCATTTTGAAATTATAGTCGGCGAAATAAAGGGAAAACAAACAATATTAACAATATTGTGTCTAAAAAGTAGTTTCAATGTTAACTTATTGTTAATTTAACAGTTGTATAACATAAATATCACACTTGGAATCGTGCACGGGAAAACGGCACTCTTTCTGATGTGATATTCTAATATAAGAACATAATATGATATAAATATAAGACAAAAACTAATTTGGGGACATAACAGTTACACTGCACACATCACGCAGTGAAAGCACGAGAGAAATGCGATGTCAGCTCGCAGTGCCTCAATACATTGTTAAAACAATGATTACAATATCATAAAAGACAATACACATCGCACACCATACGCACATAAAGAATGAACTTACAACTGAACTGACATTTACGACCTTTCTTCTCCTTCTCTCCTCTCGCGTGCAGGAGACAGTTATGCTGCCGCGACTCGCGAGTGACGCGAAATGTCACGTGAACTAGCAAATCCACAAAGATAGAATAATAAATAAATAAAAATACGTACGCTAATTAGATAGTTTTAATTTGGAAAGCTTTTAGATATGTCTAAGTCAAAGTGTCATCTAAAATTTAAGACCTTTCATAAGTAAAAATAAGACTTTATAAGACTTTTTATGGTCTTAAATTTTAAAAATCTAATTTAAGACTTTTTAAGACTTTTTAAGGATCCGCGGGAACCCTGCATGGTTTACAAACTCATTACTCATTATTGTCTCATTACAATTCTAATAAAATGCGTAATCGTCAAATATGCAGATGTGTAAATAATCCGTAACTGGGTAGTGGGTTTCTACATAGCCCAAGTGTTGTGACAGTAGCCTAGTTCTGCTTACCACAGTTCTGCACTCACTCATCTCTCTCCTTATTCTCCTCACCATCCTCATCAGACACTTGAAGGGCCTTTGAAGTTTCTTTTTTCACGCTATTTCTCTGCACATTCCTTGCGTTTCTTCTCCATCGCTCTCACTATTTTGACAGATACACACTGTCTGACACTGCTCGCTCACTCAGAGCTCAAAGGGGGAGGAGTTTAAAGATGTGATTGGACCAGCCCAGTGTCAATCAAGAAAATAACCAATGGGCCGCTGATCTACGCGTTTCATCATGCGCCGGTCTGTGAGAAAAAGAAAAACCTACGTTGACTTTTTTGTCCAATGCATTACACCGGCACAAAGATTCCAGAGCCGCCAATTAAACAAAATTAAACGCAATGGGCCGCCGATGTACGAGTTTTATGGGCCGTTCAGACAGACAAAAAAAAAAAAAAAAATTAAGTACGGGCAAATGCCCGGTATGCCCGATGGCCAGTCCAGCCCTGGAGGTTGCTCACGTCACATCTACGTCGTCAAGCTCAGTTTGAGCCTGCGCAGTGCGCTTGGCAATCAGGAAGTGAGTGCTTCTAATTGACTTCACTTTTCTCCGTTGAAGTCTATGGGGTCGCTGTGTCCATTTCTTTTACTGTCTATGGTTATACACAAGTGTTACAACTAACCCCTCTTGTCTGTTACAATTAACCCCGCATATGGGATAAGTTTTAGCATTTGCACTTCTGTCACTTTCAGTGCAACTGTACGAAAATGGAAGGTCCTAAAAAAACGTTAAGTGTTCATTTGTAGCAGAGATGTGTATGTTGCTTGTGTAAAAAAAAAAGAAAAAAAGATTAATCTAACCTAATTATTTTTTTAATAATTGAGCCAAAACCAAAATGTGTTAGGTTGTGCCTCGCGCTCCCCTACATATTTTTGAACATCACTATAAAAGATGAATGACTTTTTTGCACAATCTTGCTTTGTATCATTATTTTTCGAAACAGTATTTTCAGCCTATAGATCACTAATATGAATGGCCAATCCATCTTTGGCAGAGGTTGTCACTCCCGACCCTGGTATTTGCCCTCATACTAAAACACACACAGCAGCACGTTGTGTCTGCAGGTGAGTGTATGACAGTGACCCCTGCCCTCGTCTTGTTACTGCTTTCCAGCGATGCTCCGGGTGAAAGATGAGCGAGGATAAGACTCTTTCCTTTCATCCTTCACCGTTATGCTTGACACGTCTTTATTGAAGCTGAACCTAAAACCTAAAGTAACTGAACTTGTAAACTAGGATGTTCAAGTTGCCTGAAGCAAAGCTGTACTCGTTTCATCGCTTCCTCTGTTCTTTAGTCACAACTTTCGAAAATAAACTGGCATATGTGATTTTAACATTACACAGCGTCTGCAAAGACATGTTTGTAAAGGTAAAGACAACAGTTCTAAAGGTCAAGACCTTATTTCCTCACTTGACAGACCTCATTGACTCTAGGTTGAGCTCGTAAAAATATCTCAGTGCTTTTACCCACAGAGGTTTCATGCTGTACTCGAAAATTTGCAGTAGAAAGGGGAAAAAAAGTTTCTTCAAAAACGTATGTCCACTGAGGCCTATTGAAAATTGCTTCTTTTGCATTGAGCCCACACTGTAGTTTGCATTAGAGAATGCTCTCATGCATTAACCGTTGGCACTGTGTTGTATCTCATTTACACTTTGTTTCTCATTTAGAAGGAAGATCTGCCTTCTCGCACAGGGGTGAAGTAAGTATTTTTTGCTTTTTGACCTTTTTCCTCACTGATACGCCTTTTCCAGAGACAGCTTCAAATATTGATGAGCTGAGAACTTTAAAAATGCCTTAAGAGTGTCCTTCAAGTGTCAGCTTTATTTGAGCTCTAACTGTGCAGTTTGAAGTGATTACATTATAGTACATTCCAAGCAGATGTATTTTGTTATAAAAAGCTGTTCCTTGTTTTTGTTGCTGAGATGTGTGATTGTTTGTGTAATAATAGAAAGAACTGAGCTGAGAAAAGGAACATGATGAGTTTCATGGCTTGAGTGGTCAATGAAGCTCAAAGTGTGTGCAGGTGTTTCCTTTAACACTAATAAATTGACTAGCGTGGCAGTTTCAGATAGCGTACATCAATTCTCAGCAGCCTAATTTTGGACTATTCAACCAGAAAGAGCAGTAAAGTTAATATAGATCATATACATGTTGTATAAATTCATCAAAAAAATCATAAGGCATATTTATCAATAGAGCATGTAATGTAATCTTCAAAATAATTGGAGTCTAGAGACATCGATTACATATAAAAAATAAATTAGAAAAATACTTATTCGCTTCACAGGCATGGATTTAAAATAATAATTAAAAAAAATAAAATAATAATAATTAGTGAATTTTTACAGTTTTGGTCAATTTTGTTCCTGATCATTAGAAGAAAACCGATTGCACAGATGTGCCTCGTGGCACATTTCTAATGTGTCCTTAGAACAAATATAAGATAAAGATAAAGGAATTCACCAGTTTACCAAAACCCTCTCTGCTTTCATTCTAGAGCAGTTATTGACATAGAATTTGTGCTGAAACTTTCAATTCTGGTAAACTGAATTAATGAGGATACGGCTTCCCTTTGTGGTGACATCACTTGAATGCAGTTGCTTTTAAAAGGCAGCCCACTCAAGCGACCGCTGTACAATTATTAGATGATCTCAGGAAGTAATAAAAGAGTTTTTGGCTTGATATATCATAAGAGTTTAGATTGTTACATATCAGAGTGTGCACATGGGAAAATGTAAGTACAATTTCTGAATATCAATACAATTAGATTTGCACATTTCACATGCATTATGTTGCAGTATGCAAATGTACCATTATTTACTTATGAAAATTAAATGCACTGCAAAAGCCTGAATCATCAAGAAAATATATCTTTTTTTTTTCAATTCAATTCAGACGCAAAATCTATTAGCATATGCTCTCATTACATTATACGGATGGAAACCAATTGATCGTTGCTGTTTTGGCACATTATCTGTTCTGATGAGTGGCGTGATTAATTAATATCTCAGTGTTTGCCTTGGATTATATAAACACTGGCAGTGATAATTTAACACTGGCCTGTTCTTTGGCAGTTTGACAGAAACTCTAAATGTAATTTTGGGGTCATTTTAATATCTTGACAAATATACTTAATATTTAAGTATCACATTGATGCTTCATGATTTTTCTTAATCTTATGAGGAATTTTTGTAAGCAACATTTCACTCTTCAAATTTTTCCCTTTTGTCCTCCATGAACAAAGTTCCATTTTTTTGAGGGGATATAAAACATGAATAAATGCAATGTATTATCACATGATAAAGTTCTCAGACTGGTGCTGTACAAGCTCAAGGTACTTCTGGTGTTGCCATTTTATTGTCAAATTAAACCCTAAAAGAAGAAAAATTTGACTTGGATGTATACCAGCCACATTTCTAAAAACCGCATGCCTACTGTAACAGACAGATAAAGCGTCAGAAATCAGGGTTATTTTAGGGTTAGTTAACAAGAAAATCAACATTAACTGAAATAAATATGTTAAAAATACATATTTAGTTTCACTTATTACATTTCTCATATTAATTTAGTTGAGTTTGAAGTTCTAAAGTAACTCAAACTAAAAACTGAAACTCAAAACTATAAATACATATTTAAAAAAAAATAGAAATGAACAAAACTTACAACAAAATTACTAAAACTAACTAAAATTAAAATGTTAAATATGTATATAAAAAAAAATTCTAATTCAAAGTATAGTATCTCGGTTGATACAAAAATAACAGATGGATGGACTTAAAATAATTTCAAGGGGAGATTAGGGGTTCGTTTTTTAATTTCCATTTTTAATTTCCTGTGCACTCACTGTGTCTCTGAGATCTTATCTATTAAATGTAAATGAGCAGTATGAACAGCAGCAGCAAATAATTTTTATTCGCAAGAATTCAAACGTGGGGGTTCCTCCCACATAAAGCTTAAAATTATGAGGTGACAGCAGACATAGGAGGTCATCATGTTTATTGCCTGTAGGTTTTTACTGATGGTTTATTACTACTGACCTCTTTGGAAACATGTGCACCACCATTACTGTGGAGTGGCTTCATCTTGATATGTAAAACTCTTCAATTGCCCTCCTCCTAAAAGAAAAGACTTCACAGCTGCATAGCTTCCTCTTTTTCAACTTTTTAAATCATGCTGTGCTTGTATTGCACAACTGTAGCGGCCTCTTTGCTTTCATTGTTATATATTTAGAGTGACTGTGTCTGTGAATGTTAAAAACGGAATTAGTTTCTGTTGGAAACGCATAAATTACAAATCACAATGTCTTTTCTATAAGAGTGCAGTGACTTACTGAAAGGATTTTTTTTATTGTTTGCAGAATGACAATATGTCAGACATTTATTAAAGAAAAAAGACCTGACGGTTGTTTTGTCAAGGCTATGGAGAGTTACAGGTGGTTAGTTGTCGGCCTGTTCTAACAGAGACCAATGTGTGTTGTGAATCTATGATGAATGGCACAGAACAGGTACATTACTGATATTTGGTGATTAAACACTGAGACTTTAGCCTTAAGAAGTAACAGTTGTGCGAGAATGGGGTGTGGAGAGTGTGAGAGACTTATACGCAAATATCAGATTTTCACATTAAAGAATCGTGTTTGACAGAATGAGTGAATCATGAGTCACAAATGTTGACTTGAGTGATGCATTGATTCATTGATTAAATTATACTCAATTTTGTCCCGGGGTGCATAAATGAAACGTCTTGGAGCTTCATCGAGGATTTTTACAATAAACTTTATTTTGTGTTTTTTTGTTGTTGTTGTTGTTGTTGGTATGAGCACAGTTAGGCAATCAAACATCACCAAACAATCACACCTCCTTAAGTACACAGTGTGCACTGCATGCAGCTTTCTTTAGCATTCACTGTTAGCCAGCAGCTGCATCTGTGTAGATTCACGCAACTCAACTTATCATGCCAAGCAAAGAACCTGCCTGTTCATGTAAAGAGCAAGATGTACTTTTAGAATCAATCACTTTATGCACTCTTAGAAGAAAAGGTTCTATATAGAGCCTTAAGGGTTCAGATATTAGGGGTTGCCATCATGGGACCATTATGGATTTTGTTTAAATTAGCTAATTTTGCTTTAATTCATTTTTTATTTTAATGACATTTTATGAATAAAACAGCTCATAAACATACTTTATCACTATATAAAAAATGTAAAATAATCTGTTGAACATGAAAGTATTATGCAGTCATTTAAGACATTTATAGAAACTTTTTGGCATAAAGCGTTTTTATTATTATTATTATTATTATTGAGTTAAGAACCATAGGGTTCTTCATTGACATTTTGAGATGTGCTGTGTTGGGTGACTCAGTGTTGGGTGTTATGCATAACTGCATTACTAAGTAATTAATTACTATAATTTAATTACTTTTCCCTTGAAAAGTAAAGTAAAAGATTACTCTTAATTTTCTGTAATTTAAGTTACTTCTGATGTAATTGCATTAAATACGGTATGGCTATATAACAATTCTATCTTTAAAAAAAATAGTGGATTTAACATCAAAATTGAATGTCTAATGTTAAAATGTATGTTTTGAATGTAACATTCTCCCTTTAAATACTTTGGTCAATTCACAAATAATATATGCAATTTTTATATTATTAATTTGGAAGAATTAAAAGTGCAGTTTCATTTATATCCTTATATTGTTTCACTTATTGAGGTTGATATGGGATTAAGAAAGTTATACGAAGTAATGCAATACATTTGAGAGAGAGTAATTAACGAAAATGTATAAATAATGATAAAAAGTAAGAAATGGTACTGTTCATTGTTAGTTCATGTTAGCTATTTTACTAAAATTGAACCTTATTGGAAAGTGTAATTGGAAAAAACGTACAATTATTGTAATGTAAAATTATATCATTTAAAGTCAAATTTTAATTTGCGATGAAAAATATGAAATAAAGTTTCCAGATCCTCTTGCATGATTCATCACAATTAATAATAATGTATTAGTAAACTTATGTTTATTTTATTTTTGTTTTTATATACAATACTGTTCAAAAGTTTGGGGTCGATAAGAATAATTGAATAATTTATTTATTCAGCAAGGACACATTAATTTGATCAAAAGTGACAGTAAAGAAATTCATAATGTTACAAAAGTTTTCTATTTCAAAGAGGTGCTTTCTATTCATCAAAGAATCCTGAAAGTATCACAGTATCCACAAAAATATTAAGGAGCAACTGTTTTCAACATTGATCATACGAAATGTTTCTTGAGCAGCATATTAGAATGATTTCTGAAGGATCATGTGACACTGAAGACTGGAGTAATGATGCTGAAAATTCATCTTTACCTACAGGAATAAATTACATTTTTAAAATACATTAACATAGAAAACAGTTATTTTAAATTATAATAATATTCCATAATCTTACTGTTTCTACTGTGTTTTTAATAAAATAAATGCTGATAAGTAAGCCTTGGTAAGCCTTCTTTCAAAAACTGTCTATGCTGTACATTGGGGTGTTTGTTACATTTTACATTTGTGTAATTCAGTTATTTAGCTTTATTTTAGTGTTTTGTGTGAATACAAACTTGTTCAGTGGACTTGTTCAGTTCATGGATAGGCCAGTTTTTATGACCTTCTATTTTTCCACCTGTTTAATGACATGGCCATCGGCATATTTTAAAGTTCAAAGCAGATTTAAGTAGTTTCAGTAAGTTAATATATTAACATTATATAAGACAATTATATATGCAGTTATGAACTGAAAAATGTTCAGCCTTCCATAATGCCTAGACACCCTATCACACTTACTTGTTAAATGTATCTGAATGGAGGGGTTGGAACAGATGTTTGGTGGTCACGTTCCAACAATGAACTATACAGCCATCCAGAAGCCAGTGATACTCGTGATACTTCCCTAAAAAAGGTTCACATGGAGTTTCCCAACATGGAGAGACAAGTGTAAGAATTTGCTCCAGGGTTTCAACACGTCAATTGTGGAGCTGCAGTTCTCATGCAATTTACTACCATGGCCATCATAGCTGAGGCACACGAGGGCACAAGAAAATTTATTATTTTTTTTAAATGAAAAACAGCCCTGTAACGTAGTTAGATCTGACTGGCTGCTTTATTTGAATAGATTAGGAAGTGGGATTTATATAATTATTTCTGCAAATAAGCAGATTTCAGTGTCACTCAGACTTACAAGGTCCACACTATTCACTAATGACTGAAATTGAACAAGAAAGCAAGAGTTTGAGTGATTACTGTCTTACAGTAGCTTTGTACGTCCGATTACACAAAACAAAAAAGACGAAAGGTCCAAATAAAAGAGGTATCTGTTGAGTGACTGAAACTTTCAACACTTTCTGCCCCACCTTGTTTGACTTGGCATGAATAGGAAATCCCGACATGTCTACATGGTTTTTATAGTGCAATATGAGTAATAATAGTGCACATTTTTTGTTCACTCATCACGATGCTCATATCTTTCAAGCATGTTCATGGTGTGTTTTTTCGTACAGCACTGTCAGAGGTGCCCTCATCCAAGCCATACCAGGGAGTGAGGGTCAAAGACCCTGTAAAGGAGTTGCTGCGGAGAAAAAGAGGAAATGCTGCCAGAACGACACCCCCCGGCACAGTAGGAACTACAGCCCATGTGGGCACACACAATAGGACACATGCTTTTGATTGTAAAAACTGTTAAACATAACATTATAATGTCATTCAAGTCCCAAATTCAGGTCTTAGCACTTTGATAATTGGCTGAATAATGGGCCCCAGAGGATTTAAAACTATTCTTCGGACAAGATTGAGGATTGAGAAGGATTGCGAAATATTGCAAAATCTATGTCAGCTTGAATTTTACCAAGTATTAACTGAGTGCAAGAAGGCAGGCTCTCCAAACTCCAAGGGGATTTTGTCCTTATATAATCCAGGTGTTTTTCCGTGACAGTTAAACTATTACCCCACATACCCCGAGGGGTTGGGCATAGGGCCTATGCAAATCCGTTTGTGGATCTGCCAAAAAGGCTTGCCTACCAAACTTAAAATTGTACCTGACAACACAGCATAAACACACACTCTGCAGCCATTAAATTATCATAAAAATGCCTCTTCGACTTGCAATGCCATCTTGATTGTTTATAAATGCTCTTCAAGCTGTTCTGCTGAAGCTTACGACGTGTGTCAGTAATTGCTCCCAAAGTGTTAAGCGAAACCACGCACGAGAGCTAGAAATGTGCTTATCTTTGTCTGTTATTTTAGGTTAGCTAGGTTATCAGTAAGCCAACCCCTCCACGTACTCTCTGCCATTTCATGGGTTTTTAAGCAGCTTTAACATTATTGGGCTGGGGGCCGCAGCAGTAAATGCCTTGATCCAATCTACCAGGTGTAGGTCTCAGACAAAAGTCCCTGTCATCTGTTTAAGTGGGATTTAAGTGGAAACACTTGCCCTGACATGTAAACCATTTTACAAAGGAATATAATTGTGCTACACCTTGATTGCTTTTCTTTTGTGTAGAACAAGCTGGTCATTATCATTGTTATATAAACTGTCTTGAAGACGAGTAACTGCACATTATCCTGCTCATTAGATGTCTACTTACCAAATAAGAAGTTTGTTGCTCTTTTAATGTTTTCATATTCTAGCCTGGGACTCTTGAGATTCTTCTGTCAAAACTTCACACTAAAACGTCAGTATCCTTTTTAATATATGGTGAGCACACCATATATTAAAAAGGATCCTTAAGTTTTTAGTGTTTTAAGTGTTTGTTGTAGCCATGTTTTTTTGGACAATATTCACTGAGATCCCAATCCCGATTGCAGAAAAACAAAGGTAATGTCTCCGGTTTTGGACAATCCTCATTGAGATCCCAGTCCTGATTGTAGACAAACAAAAAGGCCTTGGCTCCAGTTATTGGGCCCTCAGGGTGGAATAGTTCTAATACTTGTCTGTGTAAAGCAACAATAAAAAGAATGTATGTTTAATAAAATAAAGTGTAAGAGCAGGTTCCAGAATAAACTATTTTCTAACTACCAAATGCGTGTTCAAATTAGAAACTACATTTCATGCTTTACGTTGTGTCTTTAAGTAGTCTGATTTGAACTGCTTGTGTCACTCATTAGCCAAAGACATGTGAGCATCTAACTTACTGTATCACGTATTGTGTGTATTCTGCTTTCACTGAGTAAGAGTTCACTTCTATCAAGAGACTCACTTCTATCAATTCCTGTCCCTCCTCGAATTCACCTCCTCCTGTCAAAAATCAAAATCAAACAATAAGACACATTAATAAACTATACAAAATAATCAAATATGTAACATCTATTGTATTTATATATTATAGCATTGTATAAAATGCTAAAATGCTGTATTTCCATTGTTATTTTTTCAAGGTGATGGTTCCCAACAACACTTTTCAGTCATACACACATGCTGGTAAGTTACATATGAATATTTTTGGTTTTCGTTGATTGCGCAAAGATTTTTTATGCTCTTATTCCTCTCTAAAAGGGACTTCTAGCTTTGTAGAAGCCAACCAGAGTGGTCTTAATGATTCATTAGTGGATGTCGGTGGGCTTTGCACAGGATGGATTGCCCAAACCACCAGCACATCTGCTCTCCAGCCTTTGAGCCACTGGACTACCCCAGACTGCCAACACCACGACCCTACTATCCCATCCCACGCTGATATGTATGTCCAGCCGATCTGTCCCAGTTACACTGTGGTTGGCCCTTCCCCCATGCTGACGTTTGCGCACACACCTCTCTTCACCAACCTTGCGGTGAGCCACAGACTGATCACTGCTATTGTTTCACGGCACCAGGTGTTTCAGGTGTTAATTAGTCTCTTATCTGGTTCCCTCTTAGACCATGAGCACATCCAGCTCAGCCTTGCCTCCGGTGGAGATCCCAGACTCCTCCCTGACATACATTCCTTGGGCTCAGCCTTTATCCACCATCTCCAGCACCGTCATGCAGTCCCCCTCTGTGCAAGCAGCCCTGTCAGCCTCCCAGCTCTTCCCAGTGCCTCTGACCTTGCCAGTAATCTCACCAGAACCTGAGCCTAGGCAGGTGGAGCCTCCCCAGGCCCCCGAGGGCACTCTGGCCCTTGAAAAACTGCTGGAAGACGATGAGAGCCACAAAGAACCCTACATCTGCAACTCCTCGCTGTTTTCAGAAGACATTTAAGATATTTGTAGATTGGCACTTTTTTCGCGCAGCTTTTTACCTAATCAAGATTTTATGGTGGAGCCAATGTAGTCCTACATTGAATAAGCCCTATCTGAATAAGCCCCAGTATGAGCCCTACATGGGTTTGTCCTTGAGTTCTATGTCGGAAGTATGGGATAATTCAAATAGGACTGACACAGAACCCATGAACAAACCCATGTAATACCCATACATCAAGCCTATATTGTGCTTACATTGTCTCCACCATGTAATGTTGGCTCATGGCCACAAACACACTGTAAAGTTTTAGGAGTGACAACCGCATTGAAATACAGAAGTTTATTTAAATGATCATTCCCGAAATTGCGATGATTGAAACCATAACAATATTCTGGCATCTCATGTGTTTGGTATCCAGTATTTTTGACCAAAGTAACGTTACAGTGACTAAAGAACTGTAAGGTTCTGCAATTTTAACTAAACCACCGTCAACAGAGGCGTTGTGTATTGTTTATGCTGGGAAGGCTGCTTATAGCAGAGGACTCCTTGCAGTGTTGTCATGTCCACTTATAAGCGTTTTTTGGGCTTGTTGTTTGGGCTTGTCTTTTAAAGCGATCAAGTTTATGGGATTAAAGGGAGAGTTCGCCCAAGTTTCTTTCTTCTGTTGTACACAAAAGATATTTTGAAGAATGTTGGTAATCAAACAGTTGACGGTAGCCATTGACTTCCATAGTAGGAAAAAGAATACTATGGAAGTCAATGGCTTCCATCAACGTTCTGGTTACCAACATTCTTCAAAATATCTTCAACAGAAGAAAGAAACTCATACAGGTTTGGAACATGCGGGTGAGTAAATTATGACAAAATTTTAATTTTGGAGTGAAGTATACCTTTAAGAAAAGTGGGAATTTGCGGGTCACAATATTTTGATGTTATTGTCAATATAAAGCTTTTGGATTTATTTTGGTTTATTATGTGCTTGTCCTTTTTTTTCCTAGCACGATCTACCAACGCAAATGAGTCAAGTTTCCCTGTGGTTTTCATACAAAAGGGAGACCTCTGATGCACTTTTAAAAACGTTTTAAGAACTAGTTGTTCAAGGCAGTTCCGTACACACTTTTTCTAATTTTTCTAAATGCAGTTGTTGCTACCTGAATTTTTCGAGAGCTAATTTGGTTGTATAATTCACTCCTGTAAATTTCTGGACTTTATGTGTACAGAATAGATTTAGCTCCAGTGCGTACATGGCCAATATGTAGGATTTGCTAGGCTGAAACTGATGTGAGGCATTTCAGACAGCATTTTGGCAGCCCTTATGAAAAATGAAATCTGGAAGAAATAACAGATCTGGAAACAATTGTGAAGGGATAGATTAATGTCCATTTCTGCTGGCTTGCGTAGCTGCAATTTAATGCAATTTAGTGTGCAGAATCCTGTAGCATGTTTACAGTGGTTAAAATACTGACATTTACAGAGTGCTCTTCCTTGTATACGGTTCATTAAAATGTCAGTTAGAATTAGAAAAGCATCAGTTTTCTGAAAGAGAAATCCCCTGAGGATGTTATCATTTAATCTACCTGTGGCCAAGACCCGCAGACTTAGTTGTCTCTCAAGTTAACATGTTCCCTAATGAGATGTTTAAACAAGGGTCTGCTCTGTGCACGCTCTACCATGAAATCTGCTTTTTTAGAGCTTCTGTGCATGACATATCTCCCTCAAACGGGTATGACAATAAAGCACACGTGCATTTGCAAGTATTTTAGTAAGTGTGTGATTTGGTGGTGGGAGGAGGAGGAGGAGGGGGAGGGGGGGTTGTGTGTTTGTTTGTGATAATGTTTCTGATGTTTTTTGATTGCTAATTTGGCTTTAAATGTATATTCAATTCGATTTCAATTCACATTTTTTTGTATTATGCTTTTCACAATACATATCGTTTCAAAGCAGCTTTACAGAAAAATGCATAAGTAATTTGTTATCAGAGGTGACAGTCAAAGTAATGTCCATTTGTCAAAAATGTACAGTTCTAAGATAATACAAATCATGCAGTTAGCCAATGTCATGTATTCATTTAGGCAGTAACAATGATCTCATTAATAAAATTATTACACGTTGTGATCATAATGATTACAACATTATGGAAAATTTAGAAGTTGTGTGTTGATTTAGACTAGAGTTTGATTCATATGAAGTCCACGCAGGGGTTGGTGTGATCTTTTCACAGAAGTTAGTTCATCTGAAATCTTCGGAAGAGGTTGGATCCAAACTGGACCTGGCGTACTCTCTAGATATGATAGACATCCCGAGGTAGAGACAGAAAAGCTAACGTAAAAATAATTAGCATAGCTGTTCACAACATTTCAAGCAAAAGAAAAGTATGTGTATTTAATCTGACTGGAGTACAAGATTATGGGGTGCATTATGTGGATTCTTGGCTAAAGAGATTTGTCTTTAATCCCGAGCATTATCATTATCATAAAATATGTACGATTTAGCAAAAATCTTAATTCGTATGAGTGAGGTCGTATGAATTTGTACGAATTAGCCACCTTGTAAAATTCGAATTGCCGTGAGATCGGGTTGGAAGATCGGTTAAATACAAAGGTGCTTAACCATTTAGGGCCTTATAGCAATAGAGAAATAGAGATTCTGCATACAGGTTTTTGGTCCAATAAGTAATACCTCAGTCGTATCCGAATTAGAAGAAAATGACTGGTCATCCAATATTTTATATCTTTAACATACTCTGTTAACTTGGATAATTTAGAGATTATTTAGAGATTAAGTGAGTATCATCAGCATAACCGTGGAAACTAATTCCATATTTTCTAATAATATTGCCAAGAGGCAGCATGTATATTGAAAATAGCATATATGGCCTAAAACCTTGCGGCACTCCACAATTTACTGGCGTTAATTTTGACAATTCCCCGTTTAAATAAACAAAACTGTAGGCTAATGGTCAGATAGGTACTATCCAGACCACCATATGGCGCTTTTCCACTGCATGGTACGGTAAGGCACGGTTCGGTACGGCACGCTTTGGCGCTTTTCCACTGCGTGGTACGGTACGGCTTGGCTCGGGACGGCTCACTTGTGGCGCTTTTCCACTGCATGGTACGGTACGGTACGGTACGGCTCGCTTTAATGGTACCACCTCTGTTGAGGTTCCAAGCGTACCGTATCGATACTAAAATGTGACGTGAAAACACTGCAGATCACTAATTGGTCAGACAGAATCGTCATACCAGCGTCATTGTATTTGCGAGACATCAAACCCGCTAGATTTAAATAGTAACAGTCAGTCAGCCACCGCTGTAGCACCTGTTTTAAAACGACTTGCTTGAAGAAAAAAGAACGAAAGAGAACTTCCAAAAAAGTAATGGCTGAATCGTGGTCAGTGGACGAAGTGCAGATGTTACTCTAGTTGGTTGCCGAGGAGCGGATAAACTATAACGATCAGACTAAATCCCACCCACTTTGAAGCGGTACTAACTGCAGTGGAAAAGCAACCCGAGCTAAAGCGAACCGAGCCGTGCCGTGCTGAGCCGAGTCGTACCGCTCAGTGGAAAAGCGAAGCGAGCCGAACTGCGCCGCGCCGACCCGAACCGTAGGGTACTGAGCCATACCGAGCCGTACCAGCAGTGGAAAAGCGACTATAATGTCTGTCCCTGAATACTGATGTATCGATCTAAGAGTATGTCATGATCTACAGTGTCAAACACAGCACTAAGATCAAGTAAAACTAGTAATGAAATGCAACCTTGGTCAGAAGCTAGAAGTAAGTCATTAGCATTTCTGTGCTATAATGGGGCGTGAATCCTGACTGAAATGTTTCATAGATATCTTTTTTTTTTCAAGAAGGAGCTCAATTGAGCCAACACGACTTTTTCTAGTATTTTTGACATAAATTGAAAATTTTAAATGGGTCTGTAATTTGCTAATTCATTTGGATCTAGTTGTGGTTTCTTAATAGCTGCCAGCTTGAAAAGTCTTGGGACATGACCTAGAGAGGAGTTATTAAAATTGAGAAGAGGCTCTTCTGCTAACAACTCTTTCAGTAATTTAGTGGGTTTGGATCTAATAACATGTTGGTTTAAATGCAATGATAGTGTCATTTAGCTCTGTCCTATAGTTGAAAAGCACTGCAATTGTTCTAAAGGGGACAATAATTGAAGCTGAATCATAAAACGCTGTCAATGGTTGTACATTTACAAATACAAAGTTCTGGGATGAAACTCTAGATGGTGCCGGCTAATAGGTCCTTTTACTCACATGTTCTTAATGACATCGTTATATATAGGGCGCAGCTGATTGGTTCCTGCTGTATCAGTAGCCAATGAGCTCACTGCTCAAGTTTCAAATACTTGGTTAGCATTTTGGGAGCTTTCAGAAACCCTCCACCTTGCAGCTCCACCTGTGTAGATCTGCTACGGGTAATTCATGTACGCTATATTGTACAGCAGCAGCATGTCTTAATTGCTCACAGCAGCGTGTCGTGTATGTATTGGCAGTAGCAAGTCCCGTACTTGCTCTGCAGCAGCAGCAGCAGCAGCAGCAGCAGCAATGAAAGCAGCAGCAGTGTAGCAGATCTATTCGGCCAAGACCAAACATACAACATTGTTATACCCATTACCATGCCAATCACTCCGAGAGTTGTCATGACAGCATTGTATTTCTGATGCTTTAGATTTTCTCAGTGAAAGGACTATTCTTTTCAGGTGACGTCTGTTTATTTGTTAATCTATACTAAATAAAAACCTTGGATTGTTTAAGTTATTTTCTATGAGTTTGTGAAGATGCTCGGCCTTTTATAGCGAGGCAAATTGTCTTTCCACACGATTCTAACGACCTCTAAATGAGTTTGTTTCCAATTGCGCTCAGGGGAGTTTCTCTCTTGAGACCACGAGTAATGCTGTTGTAGCATGGTGAAGTACTTTTCTCTCTAAACTTTTTTAATATGATGGGTGCAACAGTTTAGAAGTTAGTTCCCATACTGCTAGTCATTTTATCAAGTTCATTTGTGTTTATTGGAACACTGAGCAGTTGAGACAGATCAGGTTATTTGAGAATCTATATTGTTCTTAAACATGCGTATGTTTGTCAAAAGGTTGTGT